CCCAGTAGTATCACTTACATGGGATACCCAAAAGGTTTTCTTCATAAATATCCTTTTATTATATACTGAATATAATAAAAAATTGCGATGAAAACAAATATACTAAAAAGTCGCCGCAGTCACTAAAGTAGTGGACGTGTACGTCCTTTTTTGCATAACTCAATTCTGATGCTGTGATGGGTAGGAAGCTGAAATTTTGCAAGGACAGTTCGGAAAGGTATGAAGCTAGAAACCTGGGATTAGCTTCCGAAACCCTCTCCGCTCCAATTTCTGATCTCATGACGAGATTTCGAATGACATTATTACCTGCAGAACAAAAAAAAAGACCAGGAAGCCGAAATCTCGGCGGGTTACACGAGCTCTCGCTCGATCTCTTGAATCTTAGGCCCTAACATATGTGCTCCTAACTAATAAAACGCAGTCATGTCTTACATTTCTATATCATAGATATTAAAGATATTAAAGTGAAGAATGGAAGAAAACTTCGGAGCAGAAGCCCCAATAAGGCTCAGCTACTGCCGAATTTTTCTGCAGGGAGCTAGAACTAGCAGGAAGACACGTTTATCCAGCTGAAAGCAATAGTAGTAGTGATGGAATTTCAGATATCCCGAAACTGCGACGCGGTAAATCCGGCTTCATGATCACTACAAATGAGTCTAAGTCCTCAACTCATCCTCAAGAGCTCTTGTGTTTGAAGTGCATTTCCCTGAGGAATGAAAGTCGATCGAAGTCCACAAACAATCCCCTCGCTTCTTGCCTAGTTAATTAACACTCTACTGTCTAGAAATTTTTCTCACATCTCCTCGCAGCTTTATGCAAAGAGTGCCTTCAAAAAAACATTTGGATGACAAATTTGAAAAAAAAAAATAAAAATGCGGGGAAGTCCAAACGAATGAAGTGATAAAGGGTACTACTGTGGAGGATAAAGGAGGGAGAAGTCAAGAGGAAGCGAACTCCTATTTCGGAAAAAAAATTAACATAGAACAATCCAGTTCGAAAAAATTAAAAACATTCAAAAAATTCATTTTAGCAGAAATTTAAAAGCAAAATTATTTAGAAAATTCCAGAATCTTTCCCATCCGATTTGTTTAGTGTTCATAATTCGAAAAAATGTATTTCTTAAAATAATACTGACGAGTAAATCACAAAATCTAGGAAAATGAGCGACTGGGAGTACTTCATAGCTTTCTGAGCATTTGAAGCAAAAGGCTCTCGAAACCGATGATGTTCCGAAGTAAGACAGTATGATTTAGTAAAGCTCTTTTATTCAGTTCAATTACAACAGGAATTAAAATTAACAACCAACAAAACAGAACGAACAAAGAATATATTGGATAGCATCAAAAAGGAGATGTAATTTATGTTTTTAATAGTTACACTTTCATCCTCCTTCTCCTGCCCAGTGCTACCCCGCACCCCTTTTCTTACACTTAAATATACCGACTAAATTCTTAATTGAGCTTTCAAGCCCACAGATAATTTCAGTTTTGTGAAATTTGCTAATACTACCAAGAATATCAAGACCACCCCAATAATCGGTGTGAGTATTCCATGATATTACTGGAATGCCCACAAACTCCA